GGGGCTGTCTCTTGGTGGTCGTTTCCTTTCTTCCCCTTCTTTCCCTTGCCCTTTCCTTTTCCTTTTCCTTTCTCCTCCATGTCTCCTTTTCCCTTCGATAGTGGTCTCCACGGGGTGTAACCCGCTATTGCCCACTTCATCTTCTGGTCTGTGACCTGTTCCTTTGTCGCCATCAGAGTCTCGTCCTTTCCTACAAGATTCACGCCCTCGGGCGGAATGAGCTCCAGGTGCTGCGCTCTTCCCCACACCTGGTCTGCCAGGAACAGCTCTAGGGACTTTATCCTTTGAGCGACCACGTCCCCTGCTGTTTTCACGTTTCCGACTGCCATGAGATCCAGAACCTTGGACAGGGTTCTTATTTCCCGACTCGTCCTGAGATTTATTCTGTCCTTGTATTGGGGAAGTAGCACCGTCAGGAAATAGGAGGTTGCGGTCGCTGGAGTCAAGTTTCGCTCGGCCTTCGATGACAAGGGCCCCTCCTGCCGAGCTAGGATCTCTTCCATCTTCTGCAGGAGTCGTGCCGCCAATCGCCCGGGGTACTGCTCCGAGTACTCCTGAAGCTGCAATTGCCGGGACTTCGTGGAGGGGCCCGCGTGAAAAGACGACCCGGAATCGTCATCGTCTGACCTGTCCGAGTCCTTGAATTCGACCTTGTGACCCACTCCAAAGGGTCCCCGGTCTTCACCCTTCATCCGCTTGCCGTGCTTCTTGCTGCCTCTCTTTCGAGTCGGCTTGCGTTTTCGTCCTGTAGTCCTTCCTTCGTCAACGAGGTCATTCTGCTCCTCAGAGCCAGCCTCGTCCGATCCGACAACTTCATCAGATTCAGACACAGGGCGGCCAAACCAATGAGGATCCTGGGCCTTCTTCTTTTTACCGGTTGTCTTCTTTGCTTTTTCTTTCGGTTTCTCACCCGTAGGTGGAGCTTCATCAACCTTGGTCTTGCCCCTTTTTGGCTTGTCATCACGGGCAGTGCCTCCAACACCCACACGGGCTCCAAGCTCAGCCAAACGTTCCTTCACATCCTCGCCCGCAGGCGGTTCATCCATGTCCATGGCACGTCCAACCCCTTCATCCCAGGATAACTTGCTTGGTCCCAGCGGACCGCGGCGATCACCAGCTGCCGGCTCTACAGGGGGTGATCCTGTCAAGACTGCCACCTCGTGATCAATATCCGATGTCTCAGCGTCCCCCTTGAACCAGCCAACTCTTTTGCTGATGATGTCGCCCGAGCTAATCTCCCGGTAGGTGTCGGAATGGAATTCCTGCTCCCTGTGCCGCTTTGTCTTCCGACAACCGCTTGAAGGAGTAGCGCATAGGTGAATCACAAACTTTCTCTCGTAATCCTTTCCTTCGCCATCCTTTAGCCACCACTGTAAGTGAGGATCATTGGCTGCAATCAAGCGTCCTTCCAACCAAATCCCCTCTTTCTTCTTTTCGACCATATGACCATATGGGTAACCTGCCAGAGACCAGTTCCTTGTCCATTTCCTTCCTCATCATAGAGCTTGAGTTCATAGTACCCATGTTCCACAAGTTCCAGCTCCTTGAAGTATTCCTGGTTATCTGGCAGGTATACCCATGGGCCAGGCATCACGCCCACAGGCGCCCCACGCTCAAGAGCGCCCCCAAGAAAGAACTTGAAACCAAAAGGCCAAGTGAGCATAAAAGCTCGTTCCCTAACTACGTAGCGGATCACTCGGGGCAATGTGTTTACATAATATAACATGTTATAATGACGAGGCAGGGTAAAACATACATTCAGCCCCCAGCAAGAAAGGAGCATCATGAAGTCTGCAGCAAATCAGGTGTGCGGTGTGCAAGTCCTTTTTTCACTTTGAAGGGTTTGGGTGACTCGATCATCCTGCGCTTTGACGGGCTCTTGTCACTGTGATTCACAATCACACGAGCCAGTGCGTTGAAGGTCTTCATGGGCGCAAGCTGGTACTTCTTGACGTATGCATTCATTGCACCAAGCATTTGAGGAGGTGAGCACCCAAGTTGCGATTTGGCCAGGAGATATTCGCTGAACAGGATCTGTTGCACACACTCACTTGGGTCACCAAGCATCTGCCAGTGAGGCTGAGATCTATGGGAGAGGAAAGCTGCCCGAAGCTTCTCTTTCACATCACAGCTGCTATCTGTATGGTCAGGCATCATTCCGACCCGCTTCAGAATGACCTTATTTCGTAAAAACATTCACAAAGTTGAACATTGCCTCTGCTTGGTCAGTGTTCAAGTCGTCAAGATAACCAAGCCTCCTAAATGCCTCAGATACCCGTGACGGCGAATCATACAGCATGAAAGGGCCACCCCGAAAATGGCACGAGCCAATATGCCCCCATATGCCTTACTGCCGCTTCTTGCATTTCCACCACTAGCCGGCAAAAAATAGGCCAAGTTCTCCCTGTACGGCTTCCATGACTTGGACCCTGTGGGCTGACTGATGACCTCGTGCACCGCCAGCGTTGAAAGCTGTGCAGAGTAAACCACCAACGATCCCAACCATATGCCATATGCAAACCAGAATTTCGTGCAAGCGGGTCCGAGGAAGTATCCTTCCTTCTTCGCATATCCTAGGCCTTCCAGGAAGTCCCACACATTCTCCGCTGCATGGCGGTTTTCGAACGACTTGTACGCAGCTGCGTGCTCCACAGAGCCCTCTCCATCAGCATGAATGAAGGATGGCTCGAACCCGTGAACCACCATCATCTTTGTTGGGCGAGTCTAGCGTCAAACCCTGCACGCCCGAATTCATATATCTGGCAATAACCTTATGCTTAGAGTTTGGAATCAGTGCAGTCGCTGTGGCCCCAGAAGCCTTCAGCTTGAAGGTGGCCTCGACAAAACCGGAATCTGATGTCAACAATGCAATGCGGCCAGGATAACCTTCCTCGAGAAGCTTTTGCATGGATAAGGTAATCGCCTCGTCATTGGGTTCCTTTGAGTGGTCAACTTCAGTTGATCTAAGAACAGGGCAGAATGTCACACCGCTTTCTTGCATCAGTCGACCCCATTTCTTGTTCAGTGCCCTCGCAGGAGCACCAAAAGCTCTGCTTTGGGCGACTTCGCAAGCTCCTTCAAAGTCCTAAAGCCGAGCCAACCCCAAAACCCAAACCTGTGCATCGGGCGCCCTCTTCACGCACATGCCTCAAACTCCACAATCGGAACCCTAGTATATTGAAGGCCGTCATCGTTCGTTCACCGCAGTAAATGGCCCTCAGATTGTCACACTTAAAGCTGCTGTTTCACTAGTGCTTGAGAAATTCATCAAGCTCCGAAGCAGTGTCGCAAGGATTCTCTCAGTGACCGGCATCCACTACTCATCCTACTTGCATGTATCTGGGAAACTGTGCTCACTGGTTCCCCCCATCCCCGACCTGCAAGGTGGAGAGGCCACTCACTGGGCAGATCCGAACCTCCATCCCAAACCTCAGCCACCCCAGATGGCGACAAAAGCAACCTGTGATGTTAGCTGTGGCGCCTTCCCACTTTCCTGACCAAAACAGAACACCTCCAGTTTTGCGGGATATTGGGTCAACCTATGCCCAAGACACTGTCTGAACAAGGACATCCCAAGCACCGCACATGGGCTCTCGAAATCTTGTGTCTCTTACAGTCGAACCCCAGCCTGAGATTGGTTCCTCTGTCAAGGAATCCTCAAAAGAATGGAACTGTTGGCACCCGGTGATTGTAGGCACCCACTTCTTCAAGAAACAAAACATCGTCTAATTGGTGGCCCCATGCCTATGATAGGGGACAGCCCAGCCTCTCCAGAAACTTCTATTGACAATCCACAAAATCTACAAATCCTTCATCGCTACTAGGAGCAAGAAGCTACTAGGGGCTCCTGGCCGTACTACTAAAGGAGCAAGGACGCTACTAGGAGCAAAGGGCATCGCTACTAGGTGCTCAGCTTCCGGGCTCAGGACCAACCTCAGGCTGAGTCTCTTCTGCCTGGTATCAACAGACAAGAAGACCCCGCGTCTATACTGGAAACCGCAGTGCGAATAACACCCACAGACATGAATCAAACTGAATACAGCAATTAGTTGAAAACTGAAAGCGCATTGCTTGTGGTCACCAAATGTTGTGTTCACAACCAAGTGCAGCCGTTCGCAACCCACCTCGGATGCCTCTGGAGCGTCCGTTCCAGCATCAGCCACCACTCCAGGTAGCTCCCCGCTCTCGGTCCCCTCGTCTGCGTGGAAGGCCTCTGACCTCCCAGGCAAAGGTTCAAATTGTGCGAAAGAACGATGGAGGTTCAATTGTTCAATTGGCCACTTTGGTGGTCCAAAGTTTGATCTCCCTCGCCTGCAGCATGCTGGCCACCAGGCCATGTCATCACGGGTCCCGCGGGCTCTCCGTTTGGAGCTCCCGTCCCTGTGTTCTCGTTTTCCGTTGTAGCTCAGTGTGCAAGACTAAAACACTCAAAACCAGGTCGATCGGTTTGGGACTTTACCATCTTTACCTCAGATGATCCCAGTGTATCATTGCCTGAGGTGGTTTGAGGATGGCCAGTTTCTGTTTGCTGGATTCATGTAGTCTTGGCCAGATTTATCCCGGAGATCGCACGGGACATTTCCTGAACATTGACCGACAAGTGCCGTTGAGGACATGTCACATGGCAACAGCTTGGAGCTCTAGCTCTCGGAGCCTTGCTGGAAGAGTGCAAAATTACTATTATCTGCAGCGAAAAAATATGAACAAATCAGCTGCCCGCAAGGGCAGCATTGTTTCTTTCAGTGGCCCCAGCAATTTTTTGAGGGGCTTGCATGCAGTGACTAAGCCCTTGCTTCCGGGGAGCAATGCGAAACCGTGATGAGTCATGGGTGCTTCTTCTCAGTGGCTGATTTAGGATGGTGAAAAAAGAACAACGGAACTATACAGAATGAGGTATGTTCTGATTTGCACAAACTGCATATCTAAGACCAGGGTGGGAACAAGAAGGAAGTTAGCATATAGAATGCGCGGCATAATGCTCTCCACACATGAAGCCAAGCCTTCCAGCCAGTGGTGTTGGAAGTCTCTTAGCACGGCCTCGCATCTCGGAACGGGCCAAATACTGTCAGAGAGCCCCAAATGGAGAGCCTGAGCGGACACCTCTGTCTTCTAGTTCTGGAAAACACATTCTACAGTGCAGTACCCAAGGTGTCCAATCTTACGCATACAAATCCCGAAAAAAAAAATAGAATTCTCCAGCTTGGCCGATCCAACCAGCCAACGCCATGGAAGTGGGGGTTGAGAGAGGAACTTGCCAAAAGAAACATCTGCATCAGCTATGCTGGGATTTCTGTGCAACAGCCACCAAGCTGTGGTCAGAGGTTTCCTCCTGAGCCACTTCCTCCAACTAGCGCTGGTTGATGGTTTGGTTTTGCTCTGGAAATCTCTCCCAGTATACGGTGGAAATGTTACATGAACCTCAACTCAATTCATGGACCATTGCCTAAGCATCACTTCAAGGCAACCCACATATATAAATCATTATAAATCCATCAGCCCACGCTCTCCGTAGCCCACCACCCCACCCCACCGCCATGGACCGTCCTGCGCAGCCGCGCTCCCGTGTCGGCCGTGGGCAAAGCGGATGAAACCAAAGCCCCTCGAGCGTTTCGTCTGGCGGTCCACCATGACCACCTGGCGGCAAAACCGTCGAGGTGAAAAGCACGGAATTAGTGGTGCAACAAAGAGGGACAAGGACGCCACTAGGGGCTCCTGGCATCGCTACTAGGAGCAAGGACGCTACTAGGA